TAGTACACAAGATTACAAAACGTAAAAATCCAATTTTGAAACCCAAATGTATACTATAAATTTCTCGGAAACTTCTTAAATATTTGAATTCATCTTCATAAAAACAAAAATCAAATTCAGGACTAAAATCATGTTTATCATTATATTTAGGTACTTATTTAGGTTATTATTATTATTGTAGAGTTTTATATATTTTAAACATATTTGAGTATTCATAAGAGAAGCTACCTTCAAATATTAGATAAGTTTTGAATAAGATGTAAATATAATCTAACTAAGAAAAATACTTTGTTCACAGTAATCCCTGAAACTACGTAACAGATTAAAAAAAAAAAAATACCAACAGGAAGCTACAGTATACCAATAGGATCAATACATTAGGTATATTTTAACTTGATACCTAAGTAGTAAGTGGCCTTTAATTTTTTCAATACACATTTGAGATTAAATACATGAATTAATAGAAATAACAATAACAATAAATAGTGATATATTTTTGTTCATTATAGGGTTGCTATTGGTTATTTACAATATTTAGTTTAAATTAGATGAATAAGAAATCAACAATAGKTTATTACGTACCTAATTTTGTTTTGAAAAATTGTTTATCAATACAAGCTAAAAATTTGGGGGAAAAATAATTAGAATGATTAAATATAATTTTAGATTTGTGTTGTTTATGACTGGGTTAGAAATCTTTAATGAAGATTAAGATGGGTTAAATTCACAGGAATTTTTGAACGTCACTACACCAGGTATTAAATAATGAATGTTTATATGAAGTTTGTACACAAATTTTGARTCATATAGAGTTTGAATTATAAGCAGGCAACGGATAGCACTGTATCAGTTAGTAATAAATAAAGTTGAAAGGTAAATATAAATAGTTTTGAATTTTTTTTAGACAAGAAGTAGATGTACAGAAATGATTACTTTTACTGTGATTTGTATCGTTATATTCTATAATTTATATTGATATAGTTATTAATTGTCGACTAATAAGCAATTGAATAAAATATTTCATAAATCGATAAAGTTTATCGATAAGTTAATTTAAATAATAAATTCGAAGTTAAATCGGTAAGTCGATTCAATTGATGCAATAGGTATGAACAAAATAAGCTATCGATATAATTACCAATAAGACAATAAATATACATGGGCACACACCGGTATTTTTCAAACAATAGTTATTTATTTATTCACTAAAATTTAATGTACAAACGTTAATATAATGGACATCATTGAAACAACCGGTCTTCGAAGCATGTGGTGTTCCTGTAGACRGTATTTAAATTTTAAATATTAAATAACAATATTGTCATCGAAACAGAGGCCTTTTTTTCCCCCGGACAAGCGAAATGTTATCACCATACACCTTCTTTACATCGTGGTATGGCGATGTTATGATAAGAACATAGCTTATTAATATCAAATGCGATTTRATTTGATATTTTTATAATATACTAACAAGTAACAAGCCGAATAAATTCAATTATTTCTCTTCGTTTCAGTTTTCAAAAAACGTGAACCGCATACACCACAAGATTTTCACTTCACAAAAAGTATCCTTCGACTTCTAGTCTTCGTCTGTGAAAATTATACTGATGTAAGTATTTGATGCATTTTTCTTTCGTTTTGTACTTGCGTGTTTTAATGCCAATGGCAGTCGGAAGACACATAATATTATGCTGTGAGCTTGATACGTTACTGTGGCACAATATTTCATTATTACCGTCATAATTTTTTTTTTTTTTTTTATTATATTTTAAGTAATACACTTTCAGTATCGTTAGTTTTTTTTTTTGGTGGGAGAAAGTGGAACTTTATACTGTACACGGCACAGTATTTCTTGTACTGTGGTAACATATTTTTAGCCCTCTCTCCCCTCCCCCCACTGAAAAAAAATTTATTTTTTTAAACCTAATCTGTAGTTTAGATACACCTATGTAACTTTTTTTATAGACAATGTTGGTAAACAAGACTATAAGCGACTATAAGACTAATGCTGCACTCACTATTATAATACTGGCTAATAACACACACACACAGACCAATTTGTGTTATTGTTAAATTTATTATGAATTATGATTATAAAAATATAGCAAAATATCATACAACTCGGCCATAAATATTAATATTTCATCTATTGATATTATTTTTTAAAACTCAAGGAAACCTAATGTTAAATAAATTTATTTATTTATACTTAAGTAGATATTTAATGTTTTTTTTTTTTTTATTATTATTGTAAAAAAATATTATCAAACATACATATATTGAAAGAATCTAGTAGGTAGTTTATAATTAGGAATTATATAATTAAGAATATTACATAGGTACCTACTATAATAATAAAATATAAACTTTAAAAAATGTACGCATCATTTACAACCATATAAAAAAATCGAGTTGGTCGAAAACTGATATTGCATAAAAATTCCCGTTTTTCTGTCATTTTTTTTTTTTTGTTTTCTAGATTTTTTTGAAAATTGTTGGAAAATGTTTACTTTTGACCTGTATAATGCACCAAGGATATTCACTTTTACATCAGAAACCACCCCCAAAGTTTAAAATAGAATGATTATTTCGACTAGTTATGCTGTACAGAGACACAAAAAAACACATCATTGTAAAATCAATACATTTAGCAAAATGTTTATTTTTGTACCCACTAACTACTAAAGCAAACCATATTTCAATCTAAGGTACAAATTAAGATATTTGTGGGGCATGCTGTATATTGTGTTATTGACCAAACACCCCTGATTTTGTATGATATCCTTTAGTTAGTACTCATCTTTTATATGTTTTGAAAAATGTATAAAATTATAATAGTTTTTTTTTTTTTTGCTAGTGGCGCTATATGTCCAGAAGTAGGCAGAAAATCATAGTTCAAACGCCTATTTTGGCAGAATTTCTAATTGGCCACCCATAGATTTCTACCATGCAAAAAAAATGTATTCGCAATTTTCACTATTTTTCTAATATAATATTTGACAGTTAAGTACTCATATATTGATAATATTAAGACTAATAACCACCCTTTCACCAAAACATTTTTTTGAAAAGGGACCTATTTTAAAATATTATGCATAATATGAACAACTAAAATAGCTTACAAGTATGAAACACTTCACAATTCACATTAACTCAATACATTAATAATCTCGTACATAACTAATGATATAATAAATTACTGCAACAGTTTATATAAGTGACACACAATTAGACTAAGAGAGATTGATATGTTAGATTTTAGGTAATTAAACAACATTGACATTTAAAATTTGAAGTCAACTAAAATAAACCATTACATGGTAAACTATGCAACAAAAACAAGTTATTACGAATTACGATGTAGGCAAATTGTAATGAATACCTGTAATGATAATTATATTGACAACATGCTATTTTCATATTAATTACAGTTTAACATTTTCTGTATTCTAAAATAAATGTTTTCCTGATTTGCTTGTATAAATTAAATATAGCAAGGCACCCTACAGTGGCGGCGTGAATTATTTTATTTCATGAGGCAAAAGTACCTAATAAATCCATATCTCGATAATGTAACGAAGATTACCTAATATTTACCCTAGTATKTTTGTGGTATGTGATTATGTGACTATGTGAGTGTAAATTATAAACTAGCCCTATAGGTCCTGGAGTCATTGGGATACCCACCCTCACTTTTGTATGAGGCGGCCGCCTCATAAAATAGCTATTCGCGCCGCCACTGTATGTCTAGTTGTATGTCAGTATAGTATATAGTTTTATTACACTATTGCATGCATAGTATGACAATGAAATACATAGATAATATGTCTATTCTATAATTAAGTTTATTATTCCATTTATTTTTCTTTAGATAATTTTGTTCAAACAAAAAATCCCCACCTGTATACTATGTTCTGTTAACTATATTTAAATAGTGTATTACATTGGTTAAAATAACATTAATTTGCACATTTTTTCTCCAATATAATTTAGGTACCTATTTAAAATTTAAATAATAATTATTATTAAACATTGTCAGTAATTTATAATTTATAGGATTAATTAATTTTTTACTCGTATACCATAACCACCAACCCTAAAAATTTGGTCTGGTCGTGATCAGGCTTGAACTCCAAGTTTGGCACCACTGTGATCTCAAAATTAAGTAATATTACATTCTCTTGATTTTAACTATTATGTTGTTGAATAACACAATAATTTATTGTATTCTTTTTGTTAGAGATTATTTGATGCAATATTTTTTCCTTCCCTTCATAAAATAAACATTTTGAGTATAGATTTTTTACAAAATGCTGTTCATTAATACATTAAATATTTTCATATTAATTAGGATTTTTTTTATTTAGATTAAAAAAAAATATATAGACTTAAGATGAGTGGTAATTATAGTGACATTGATCTGGACACTGCAGAAAGGCGTGCTCACCATAATGCTTTGGAACGCAAAAGACGTGACCATATCAAAGACAGCTTTTCAAGTCTTAGAGATTCAGTTCCATCACTACGAGGTGTAAAAGTTGTTAGCCGTGCACAGATATTACAAAAATCAGCTGATTACATACAATATATGAAGCGCAAAAATTTAAGTCACCAGCAAGACATTGATAATCTAAAGCGACAGAATAATATTTTGGAATCTCAAATTGAAAAATTAGAGAAAGCTAAGGCTTCTAAAAATGTTGCTATGGAATCTAGTGAATTACCTTTATAAATATCAAGACTAGAAAAATCTGATATATGAGATGGATACTTTCAAAAATCCAAAAAATTAAATAATAAAATTTAAATCTCCATCTATGTCTAATTTTGTAAGTATTCATTATGTATGAGATAGKTTAATATTTAAATAGGAATTTGGTACAAATTTTAAAATTTATATTTTAAGGAAAATCATGATATTTTGTTTGTTATATATTTTTTATATGAAACATTGTCTTGAAAATCCTTAGAGATTGTTGTCAACTAATTAATAAATACAAAAAAATAATTATTTATTAATTTTATTTGATTTGATGCCATATTTTGAATTGAGGTTTTTCTTAAATTAATTTCAAAGAAAATTACTATATAAAATATATGCACACCCATAAACTGTATTAAATGCAATTACTGAACTTGAAAATAAACCTATGATTTATCTATATTCATAAATGTTGGATAAAATAAAATTAGAACTTTGAAATTAGAGTAGCTATAAACATAAAATAAAGGATTTCAGTTATTATTCATTATTTAAAATGTCATTATTTTCTATCGTTATTATGGTGAGTCAACCAAATATATACTTCAAATTTATTATTTGTAATGTTTGAAATTGCTGCAGTTTATGTTTATGGATAAATTAATATGTTCTTATGTATTAATAGCTGTAAGTTTTTTTTTTATTTTTTTTTCATGTAAAAAAATTCACTTTTAAAAATATAGTTTTACATACTTATAATTAAAAAATACTCTTGCAGATTAAACATTTAATTGTCCTTTGTTATTTTTAATTTTTTTGTTTCCTAGAATAAAAGGTCTATCAACTGAATTATTAGCCCTTATTTTCATTTATGAAAATACATTATATGAATTATTATCAGAAATCATGTCTACACTACTGTTGGGTAACTCTCTCATTTGTCATTGACAACATTCCTAGATTTATTGCTTCTATAAAAAAAAAACCTTGGGTAGGTCTCGAGATAAACTTACGACTAACTATAAATGGCTATAACAATAAAACTATCCGCACATTTTCGATTATAAACAGTGTATCAGTAGTTAKCTTATGAGATTAGAGATTTACGTCTAAAATTATGCCTATTATTACTATTAAAATCTATATGATATAACCAATGGCAATCACTTAAAATAAATAAATAAATAAAACCAACGCCATAATAATTAACATGGCCACATGACATTTTGTCTTTTGCTCTGTTTCTAAGGTTCATAACGTGATGTTAGATAATGAATATAACCTTTCTCAAGAATTAGRCTAATAAGTGAAATTATAGTGATACGTCCATTAAACAGACAACTCTAACAAGAGGAAATTTTTTCGGAAACGGGGACATTTTCACTACTTTTATAGAGGAATACCCCTAAATACCAATTCAGTTTCAACCGTTRTAGCGTTCTTCTGTGCGTGACAGTATCGTTTTCGTTATCTATCTGTACATTAGTAATTATACCGGTATTTTCAGGATAACACTACCTAATTAAGTTGTGTATATTCTCTGTCGTGTAACGCTTGTCGTCCACTTCGGGTGGAGCAGGCGATAARCCTAACATCCCAAATTTCAAACTCAAGTTAACCTCCAAAAATCCAAAAAAATAACAAGTTGTCGAATAGTACTCCTTCAACACCGATTTCGCCGAATTTTCAACTCATTATCGTCAAAAATTCTCAACTTCAACTACCTCCAGGTACACAATTTCAATTTAATGATTCTAATATGGTACACATTAATAATAAGGGTAGGATATCATTCCGAATATTTCAGCCGACCTCCACTCCGTCGATATGGATATAGATAATTCATGCAATAACTCCTGCAATTAGAATGGTA